TTAAACATTACTGTTTTCAACATTTTAAAGAATTTATTTTTGGACTTTTGGAAGATTTTTTTTGTTTTGTGGAGATCTTGCGTAGTTGAGCTATACTATCTGGGATAAGAAACAACATAAACTTAAAACCCAGATAGCAAAATAAGTTTCTTTTTCACTCAACAAAAACCTTTTAACCTAAAATTTGGCTGTGATTTGATGATTGATGTAGAGCAGTGGTTGCCAACTGGCGGCACGCGAAGCTTTTTTTGTGGCCCGCTAACTATAATATATTAGTTATCTTTTTTGTGCCGACAATTTTCGTGAAAAAAATTTAATTTATCACATAATCAAATTTAAAAGAAGAAAAAAAATCTTGCCACTATGTTTCTGATTAAGGGAAGGTTCAAAATAATGAATATTCAACCAGCATTATTTGTAATTCTTTTTATTTTCCTTTTTAATATTGAAAAAACTTGTCGTTGAAAAAGTTTGTCAGTAATATTTAATGTTTCTTCATACATACAAGAGTCTTGTAAAATTTTGGTAAAGTTGCGGCCCGCAATTTGACTGGTGTTTTTAATTGCGGCCCCCAGCAACATGTAAATTGGAATCCCCTGGTGCATAAGCTGATTGTTTTTAAGCAGGTTAATAACTTTTTTTAAATGTTTATTATTTAAATATATAATTATTATTAAATAGTTTAATGGTTAATAATTGCTCATTATTTAAGTGCTTAATAATTTAAACAGTTAAAGAATAATTTAAATATTCGTCCGTTATAAAGACAAATTGTTGGATTAACTTAATTGTTGTTGTCACAAATTGTTACTACGCCTTAAAATTTAAATTGATGTCATGATTTGACCTTGAGAAGACTACTCATAAATGCATGCTTAAGTGCGGTTTTTGAATATGGGCCAAAGATCTAAAACTATAGGTAGAACTACCGTATCTAACTATAGAATCAACTCTGAACTAAATTAGTTAAGTGTCACATTTTAAGTTAGCAGCAAGCGTTGACATTTGGGCTGATCAAAAATCCAAATTCATCGAAATAGTGCATTTATTTTTTAGAAGAATTGCGTTAGCATTTCATATTTTGCCTTTACGTCATAAAACTTTTGCACTGATTAATTAGCATATTTTAAGTATGATAATAAATAATTTCTAACGATAGTTATAGCAATATGAAATCTAATTGTTAGATCATTCACAGAGAAAGACTGATGGTAGCATATATGATAACGTGATTTGATAACACCTTTCAATAGTAATCATAACTTATTTAAATGCAAAGTATTTTTACTAATGACGAGAAAACTTCATGGCAAATTCTCTCTCATCTGCGTTGATATTTTAAAGTTGAAAAAAAAAAACTTGTACTAAACCGTAGAGTTTCCAATTCTGAAGTCCCGCAGTGAACTGTTAGTAAGCACAACCAGTAGAACACTGAAGTTAAGCATCGCTGGCTGCGGTCAATAAGCGGGTGGGTGACCACTTTGATCAGACTTGCGCAGGGACCGAGGGTGCACGGTATCGGTCTTCGTTATACTGTTCCATCTTTTTTATAACCGTCGCTGCACAGTCAACCCAATATTATGGGCTTACGACTACTAACGTTCAACTTCGTAGCCTTGTAATTTTGAATCTAACCCAGAAGACAAGGGAACTCCTGGATCAAGTATTGGAAAAAAGTTGCTTTCGTTGTGGACTTTTATTTAATGGAACTAACCCGCATTTTCGTGACGTGGAGAGGAAGACCACGAGAACCCATCACGGTTAGCCTGACGGCAAAGGGACTCTAACCCATGATCCGTCTATCACCGAGGATATTTCACGTCGGCACTGCGGTCGATGCAAGCCGGAAGCGGAATTCGTATGGGCTGGTATTCGAACCCGGTTCGCCTCATTGGAAGACGAACGCTTTATCACATGAGCCATCACGTCTCAAACTGTTCTATCGTAAAGTTCACGACTTCACGCGCATGATTGCGATGGCATGTCTACTGATCATCCTTATGGATGTTTCCCTGACCGTCGTCAATACCCCATTGCACAGCTCTAGTGCGACGTAAATAAAGTATACTACCTATCTATCAAAAATGCAGATTTTTTTAGACGATCTAAATACAAATAAACAATTGCAAAGATTACTCAAGATAACGCTTAACTCACTTGTTTCTGAACTTCAAAATACCAATTAGAGGTGAAACAGAATTCGTCATGAAAAGTTTCTGCCGTGGTATAGTTTCCTCATGAAAAACGATTAAAAATAAAACTTACAGCAAATTCTTTCATCAGACTTATCGAAGCATTGATAACTACCGTCACAAACTTGCTCTTTTGGGATGCAACCTCCAGACTTGCATTGGAACTCTCCATCCTTACAGGAATTGGGTCTGCAGCCATCTTCGTCTTCCCCCTCAGAACAATCCTCCATACTATCGCAGACCCAAAGCCGCGAAATGCAAGTACCATTGTTACATTTGAATTGTTGGGGTGAGCATTCTTCAGATGGATTGAAATCTGAAACAGAAAAAGGCTTCGTATAGTGTAAAGTATTTTTGGTAATAGTCCATATAGTTGTAGAGTTCNTGCAGCCATCTTCGTCTTCCCCTTCAGAGCAATCCTCCATACTATCGCAGACCCAAAGCCATGAAATGCAAGTGCTATTGTTACATTTGAATTGTTGTGGTGAGCATTCTTCGGAAGGATTGAAATCTGAAACAGAAAAAGGCTTCGCATAGTGTAAAGTATTTTGGTAATTGTCCATATAGTTGTAGAGTTCATATATCTTAAAAGCATGGTTTCTTAGGACAAGTCGGCGTTACAAAAGACCAGCTTGATGCGACTGCTAACCCCTGATTGGCCAATTCTTAAGTTAGAGAGCATAAGTCATCGAACCCTCGGCTTGAACGACGACTGGCGTCCGAATCAGCTGCTGTTGGACTACAACGTAACGTTCACGAAGAAAGAAATGGCGGACAACATTCAACAGAGCATAG